CAGAGCACCAGAAATGTAAAGTGCAGTCCACAGACTGATCACCCTCAGAGCTCAGAGCCTGTGTTTAACAATAATATGTAATGAGTGTGTGAGATGAAACAAGTTTGGCCAGAGAGATAAAGACAAAAATATGAATGTGTTAAAGCCCGGATTGCATTCCCCAAGTCTGTGCATCAGCAGAAGTAATCTCTATCTAGCCTTTACTGGAAAGAGATCTTTGCTGTGGTATTTAGTGGTATTTAATTAACAATAAAATACTACGTTAATTAGTATCAGGTCTGATTTGATGACATGTAATTTAGGGGGAAGGATTACAGTATGAGTATTCGAATGAGAATTTTTATAGGGCAGAGTCAATATGAGATTAGCAGTCTCGCTACGGAGGGAGCCCGGAGGCTGACATGCGTGTGTGTTTGGCAACCGATGCAGATAGTTACAGCATAACTTTATTTACTGATGGGCAAAGAACCTGTAGCTGTTATTTACCTTTACGTGTCACCCTGTATAATGCATGGCTCAGCCACCATGAAAGAAAAAAGCAAGCAGGCATCATTTCAGCGGGAACGCCCTGTGGCGCTCAGCACCATGCGTGAAGTGCGTTGGCAGAGCAATTTTGGCATGCCCCAGCCGAAAGAGGAAGCTTTGCTGATGGTCACCCCCACGTCCCTAAGCCCCGCTGGGCACGTGAGTGGCTGAACCGGCACCTGGCCCCTTGCGCAGCATTGACCCAGGTGTGCTATATGTGCCGAGGGCACTGGGTTATGCCTAGTCCAATGTGAGTACCCCAAACAGCACCCAGGGTTGATGCAGGGACATGGGGTGTAGGACCCCTCACTGCCTGCTCCAGGCAGTGACTGATCCCAACTGTTCTGCATTACCTGCTAACGCAGCCACCAGCCATGCCCTCTGCCAGAGCCTTTTTTTTTCCCCGCTTGTGGCTAGCATTGCTGTGAGAAATGCTCTGCAGACACATGGGCAGCTATGGGCTCAGCAGGTCAACGGCAAGTGGGTTTTGTTGAGCAGGATGTGCTGCAGCTCTTGCCCTTTCGTTTGGTCAGTTTGGCTTTGAAAAGCTCCAGAGCATTCTGGAAGGCGGCATGGCAATATGATAGGATTTAATCAGACTTAATTATTCCCCTGCTGTCGATCTCCTAGCAACATCCAGCTTGACATCTGCCTGCGAACGAAACGTGTAAGCTAAGTAGGAACGCGTTCAGACTAAAGCCCTGCTACTCGAACCAAATCACTCCACTAATCATCGCCTTAATTCATCTCGTGGCCGTTAGACAGCTGCTGGGAGCTGGTACCTGATTTCCATAGATGCACGGCACTTGCCGCCCGAGTTTTTTCCAGCCTGGCAAGAAGCGTGACTTCATTCTGGGCTCTTTCCAGCACGCTGACACCTGATAACAGGGGGTAGAGTTTCCTGAGTGACAAATGCGGGCTCAGGAGCAAGCCCCAGCGTTGTCGCTATCTGGCTTCATGCTGTAGGTCCCCACTTATCTCATCATCAAAATCAGATCACCTGCTGTGCCTGTGGACCGCAGGGGTTTAAACTCTGAGCGTGCAACCGGTAGAGTCGGGTGGTTTAGGTGAGGTTTGAGGACGGTCAGAGCAGATGTGGTGCAGCGGCGGCAGGCATCACAGGCAGCTCCATGTCGCCGAGGCACGGGGGATGTTGATGCAGGGAGAAGAGACCCGGCTTACACAGCCAGAGGGATGAAGGGGAGAAGAGAGGAGCAGGCATAAAGCAAGCGTTTGTAAAGCAAAGCTGGGCTCCGGCCAGACGCGATGCAGTGCAGGAGTCGATGGGGTTATTGGAGGAAAGGAGCCTGGTGGCTGACCTGGGGCCAGTGGAGGAGGCTGCTCAGCCCAGCCGCCAGCTCATCGTGAAGCTGGAGGGAAGGGAGCTGCCTCGGCTGAGTGAGAGCGACCAGCGTCCTGAGTGGGTCAGCCCTGGGGAACTGGGGGCCAATACTGGGGAGGAAACCTGCAGATGGACAGGGCTGCATGGATGCAGTTGTGGCCCCTCTCCGTGCACCTCCTCGGTGGGGTATTGGTGCCAGTGATATACCTGGGTGTTGGCACAAGTCTGTTCAGCTCCTGCACTGTGTCTAGAAGTTGTCATTGGAATAAAAAAATCCCAACTGGATGCCAGCACAACACGTGTCTCTCTCGTGTCTCCGCAGAGGAGCGTGGTGGATCTGCGAGCCCGGCTGTGTGGGTGCCAGGCAGCCAGCTCGCACTGACTTCACTCATGCTGAACACAAAGTCGGGGTTTCTGGCTCTGAAAGTGGGGCTGCATGAGCCCCTGCCAGCTCTCCCTGCGACCTGTGTGGATTCTGCCTCTCGCTGAGCACCAGGGAGTGGGCTCGGGCAGTGCTCAGCCGGCCCTGCGCCGTCCAAGGCAGTACCTGCTGGTTGGCATCCGCACCTGGGCTCGCCTGCAGTGGGAGCCGCCACCACGCTGGACACGCTCCTACTTAATTTCCCTTAAACTCACGTGGTTTTTTTTGTTTTTCTTGAATCAGTGATTCATGGAGGGTGGAAACAGGAAATCACTGGGCTGCTTCACTGTCCTGAAGATGCAGGTTTATTCTTTACAGTCTCTTTCCTTTCAGATGACTTTTCCCCCACTATGCCTAATAATTTCCCTAACTCTTTATCATTCCCTCCCTGTGCTGCCTTATACTTGTGTTTCTCACTTGCCCTGTGCCTGACGAGCATTAGGGATACCCAGCAAGGTTGCAGGGCCAGCGGCGAGGAGGGCGATGCCATGGTAAGGGTGAGGTATGGCCTGGCCCTGCTGCTGCAGTGCTCAGGAGGCAGCCATGCAGTAAGAAGGTGGAGATCGTAACGTAACACTTCCGCTGTGTGGAAGCAGCGCCAGCTGTGTGGCACTGGCTGTGCGGCACTGGCTGTGGGGTGTGAGCCACGCTGTGCTGTGGGAGGGCAGCTGGTGTGGTCTGTGCAGCCTAGTGTGGTCCTTGCAGCTTGGTGTGGTCCAGTGGTGGAGGCTGTGCAACTCTGGGAAGCCCAGGGAGGCAGTGCAGTGCCGTGCAGTGGCTGGGCAGGACCTCCTTGGGCGTGCAGTGGTGTGAGGATCTGCAGAAGTTGGAGGACAGTGTGAAGGCGGTGACCCGGGCCAGTGACTGGGTGCTAAACTGGACTGTGCGGCATGGCTAGGTGCAGTGTGGTGCGGTGACTGGAAGCAAGGCAGGGTTGGGCTGCTCTGTGCGGTGGCTGTAGGTTAGACTGGGCACAGCAGTGCAGTGGTTCGAGGCTGTTCTGAGCAGCGTTTGGAGGTTGGGCAGTGCAGTAATTGAAGGGAGGTACAGTGCACTGCGATGCAGTGACTAGAGGCTAGGGAATGCAGCAGCTGGATCAGAGGGAGGTGTGGTACGGTGTCGTGGCTGCAGTGACCGCAAGATTTGGAGGTGTCTCGGCTGGAGGAAGGCGCAGTGCAGTGCAGTGCAGTGACTGGAGCAATGAGATGATGTGGAGCTTAACAGGCAGTGCAGTGCCTGGAGAAGGTCCTCCAGTGCCATGCCTGGAGGAAGGAATGGCGTAGTGGAGTGCTTTGGAGGTGCCACTGAGCGACTTGGAAGCGGTGCAGCGATTTGAAGGAGGAGCAACGCCAGGCAGTGACCGCGGCAGTGCGCAGCAGTGCTGTGCAGCCACTGGAAGCGTGGCGGGGGGGGGCGGGGCTGCCCAGCCACTGGAAGCGTGGCGGGGGGGTGCAGGGCAGTGGTGGAAGAGGGCAGGGATGGAAGAGGGCAGCGTGGTGCGGTGGTGGAAGGGGGGATCAAAGGGGCGCAGTGACAGGCGAGGGGGAGCAGCACGGAGCGCAGCGGCGCGGAGCAGCGCCGTGCACTGATCTGCGGGAGAGCGGGGGCGACGAGGGGCTCCGCGCATGCGCGCCGCCGCCC